ATTAATATTAATTAATAGTATATGTAGCATATAAGAATATTCTATGTAGCATAATATTATATGTAGCATATAAGAATATTAATTAGATTCTAATAGGAAAATATATAACTGTTAAAATAGTTTTTAGTAAATGGTTGATGATTATTGTGTTCAGAGTAGTTACCACCCCAAATAATATTAATATCACTTGCTATTATGAATTACTATTAATTAATAATATTAACATTATTAGTATTAATAATTAATATAATTAAGAATATTAGTGTTGATTACTGATTAATAATACTAATAATTATTAATAGTAATTATATTAATATTATTTGGGGTGGTAACTACTCTGAACATAATCGTCAACCATTTACTAAGATACATTTTCCTATTAATAGAATATAATTAATATTCTTATGTGCTACATATAATCATATCCTATTAAAATAATTAAGGCTCTATTACTATCCTATTAAATTAATATAGGGCCGACATTAATATATGTCCTATGCAATTAATATTTTATTAATTACCCCAAACAACATAATGACCTAAGAATTACAGTTAGCCTCCACTTTACAAATAAGGAAACGGGCTGAGAGAAGTTAAACAAAGTGCCTGAGGTCATACAACTATTAGTTGAAGTGGCAGGAGTCAAACGTGGTCTTTCACAACCTGGATTCTATACTCTTAAACCCTAGGAGAAAGCCATTTTAATTCAGTCACAATGATAAGGGTTACTCATTGATCCCGTTCTGTGAAGCTTTTCTACCTTTGCGCATAGAAACGTTTCCCAGGACTTCTGTGCCTCATCCCTGTCCCCTGACTTGGATAAGTAAGGCACTTGCTGTCACTTCTCCACGAGCAGAATCACACTGGGACTGGTAGAGTCTCAGATGATGACAGCCCATGCTGTGGGACCCCTGCCCACAGCGCTGTAAGCACGCTCTTCTGTGGCAAGGAAGGCAAGTTTGTACAAAGCATTTCAAGTCCTAGAATGTGACGTTAAGTAAATAAACAATTCTTTAAGAACCCTGCTGAAAGCCTACCTAAGGACCAATGCGAGGGTGGAGATGTTTGAGCAATTACTTCCAGAAATGAATATTCTTAACTTCAAATAGATTTAAAGCAAGCCACGATTTAGTTTGTGGTGTTGCTAGCGAATCACTGTTCTCCAGAGTTTCTCCTGCATTGGAAGATTTCAGATGTAAAACAAAAATTAAAGCAAATTTTACAAAGTGAATGCGATTACAGGTAGCCTGAAGTCCATGAGACTTTTATGTAGAATGATACCAAAGATCTCAACTGGGTTTCTCCTCAAACTTTGTGTTATTGGCTTCTGCGGAGCTACATGATATTAGAACTTGGCTGCAGAATAAAATACCAAGGGTGGCAGTTATCATGATAACAGCTACTCTTCTTGAAGGCCTGGCTTGTGTATTAAATGCTATTCATGTTGTAGCTTATTTATCGTTTCGAGTAGTCCTGTAAATTGGACCCAATTTCCCCCCGTTTTGCAGAGGAAGAAACTGAAGCTTGGTGAGGTTGAGTCACCTGTCTGGGTGTTGGAAACACCTGGGTGTTGGAGCTCACGTTCACACCCAGGCATAACTTCATAATACCCAGGTCACACCAGACCTTAAAGTCTCTTCATTTCATAAAGTAGGTGTGTCAAAGGTGCTATTGTAAATTCCCCGTTTGGAGTAAGCCACCTTGTTTTAATACTTAAAAAAAAATGTACTTAATTCTACAGAAGTAGAGGAGGAGGGGGATAGCAGCTCTGGGAACAGGCTTGGGTGATAACAGGACCTCTGGCTGATCAAAGAAAAGAAAGTGAAGGAACTGCAGGTCTGCCTCCCCTTGCCACTCTACAGGGGCATTCTCGCATCTGAAATTAAATAGATCGTGCTTCCTTGTCAGCACTCAGACTCATTCCTTACTGAATGTTATAGACTGTCGGAAAAAGAGTTGTTCGCTGAAAAATGCACAAAAATATATACCAAGCCCCAGCAAAGGTGTCCTGTCTTTCTTCTCTCTGTGAACCTGACTGTCATTTCATTGTGGTTCATACTAATTATTGCTGAATGTCTGTGGAAAACACCGAAAGACTGGAGAGAGGACTGTTACTGATGGATCAAGCTCTAAATAGTTTGTCCCAAAGCATGTTTGTGGAACACGAGTTCCACGAGATGATTTGTGGAGAACCAGTATGCGTGAGGAGCCTTACCAACTGTCTCCTCCCGTGTGGAAATGCATCATGTCAGTTAACACTTGGAAGGCCCTGAGAAAGCCCTGAAATACAGAAACCTGCTTAAATCAGTAGTTCCCAAATTGATTCCTAGTTTTATGTACTTCACAGCCGCCGGCACACCCACGGAGGCATATACATTTTTTTGTTTCCACTTATAATAAACACTTTGCCTCTCTGAAATATAGTCATAAAATGATTTGTCACATGAAATGAACCAAATGAATTCAAAACACTCAAGCTGAGACCACCTTCCAGGGAGAGAACATGAAGCGGATGACCGCATTTTGAAAAGAACTTTCCTAAGGCCATGCTGTAACATTTCCGCAGTCTCTTCCAGCTTCTCTGTTCAAATTCCAGGGATTGTGTGAATATCAGTGAGACTTACTACACTTGACCTACGGGTGTATTGTTTTTTGTGGGGGGCTGGGGGGTAGGGGCAGGACTCCTACCTCCCTTACCCGGGATAAGCTTTCTACGAGAAAATGGTGATGAAGGCAGAGAGAAGGTAGCCAAGAATCAAAGAGCAGATGAAAGTTCCAGATGCCTCTGTTGAATTGGACCACATTTTTGCCTCACTTCCTCAGGGAAGTGAGAGTTTGCCCAGATTAAACTTTGACAGGATGAGATAAAGCTTTGTTTTACAATCCCTCATTTAACATGTTCCGGTGAGAACAAAATCCCAAAATACTGTGTCACTCTAACGGAAAATCTCAGTAGCCCACTTTATATGCCAAGCGTAAAAGTTGGTCAACTCTGACCTACTTTTAAGCATTTGTGAGAAACTCCAAGATAAGCGTGTGGCCAGTGCTCATTGTTTTCCAGCCCTGCCCCTGGACAGGTGTGGATGGAAGAATTCTTCAGGCTCCCTGTATTTGGCAAACCACCCAATTTCTGAGGAGACAATTAACAAGAGTTCATTCAAATGAAGAATGTAAAGAAATTATCCTTTTTTGATTACTAAATTGAACCAACAACCTACCTTTTAAGCTTATTTATTCATGCTCTTCTATTTAGTTTAGGATTTTTTTTTTTTTTAATTTAAGCACTGACTGTGTTTTGGGGGCATTTAAGAATAACTCAATTCCTCAGCACACACAGAGTACATCTTGCGTCCCAAGAAAGGCTCATTAGAGGTATTAGGGGTACAAAGATGATAAAGATTTGTCGATTCAATTCTAAATTTAAAAGTATATAATCATGGGGCCAGGAGGAATGAATAGATGAAGAACAGAATTTTTAGTTTTTTTTGTGAAAATATTCTGTGATATGATAGTGATGGATACATGTGATTTTACATTTGCCTAAACCTATGGAACATGTAACACCAAGAGTAAGCACTCGTGTAAACTATGGATTTGGGGTGGTGCTGATATGTCAGTGTAATTGATTATAACACATGCACCCTCTGTGGGTAGAATGTTGATACTGGGGAGGGTATGCATGTGTGGGGGCTGGTGCATATGGGAAACCTCTGTACCTCCCTCTCTGTTTTGCCGTGGACCTTAAAGCTGCTCTAAAAAAGTAAGTCTTTTAAAAAAATTGTATAATTAAACTGTGTAGACTATGGTCCATGTCTAAAAGGAGCTTAGTCTTTATTCACAGTAACGTATACAGAGTTCAGCACACTTGAAATTCACAGTTACCCTCCAACTACCCGTGCCTTTATTAAGTCACAGGATATTCACTAAACGCTTTTCAGCCTGGCCCCTACGAAGGAGGCTTTCTCGGGAGAGTTTCCAACAGTGGTTGTCTATTAGAAGCAGCCTTCTTGAGAAATGAAATGCTGAGTTGCATGAGCCTTTTAAATACAAAATTGCTTTTTTTTGCTCCGCTGAATTCCAATGTTTTCCTCTTTTTGGTTGCTTGAACTTCAGATTGACTGAAGGGAGAATCTTCACAAAGATGGCACCTCTGACTTCCACTCTGACTTCCATGTACATTGGCAGCCATGAAAAATACATGGATATGTTGGTTTAAAATTGGATTTCAGTAGCTGACTGTGGCTTTGGGTTTCGCGGTATTTGAGTTAAGGAAGAAAAAAGAACTCAATTTTTCCGCCGGCTGACTATAAATGGGACATACATATTTAACAGAAATGTTGGTTTCTCCCCATTATTTATGCATAGGTGGCACATTGCCAGCAGGAGTGAATGTAGCGCCCAGTGTGGCTTGGGTTACCGCACACTAGACATCTACTGTGCCAAATATAGCAGGCTAGATGGGAAGACCGAGAAGGTTGACGACAGTTTTTGCAACAGTCACCCCAAACCAAGCAACCGGGAAAAGTGCTCAGGAGAATGTAACACGGGTGGCTGGCGCTATTCTGCCTGGACTGAAGTAAGTCGGTTCTCACTCGATGAGCGTTTTCTTGGATGCTAAGTCTGAGTAGTTAATGATGGCTGATCAACTAATGGATTAGTGAGGGCTGCATTGAGAAACCCCCATTTAGACTTTCTATCTGCATTGATTTATAATGCCTGACCTCATTCTGCAGAAAAGAGTACCATGATCAATTTGTAATGTTTGATTATATGACATTGACCATGGCATGTGGAAAACCGGGGGCAGTGGAACAACTCATCCAATCCCCTTTTCCATACCCCGCAAACCGTTTCCAAATTTCTTTCCCTGTGTCTGTTTACTAATGCTGACTTCGGTATGAACTTGGTAAATAAATTGATAACATGAACAGATGCTCCCCAAATCACCACTGGAATTGGGTTGGGTGGGTGGGTGTTTCTTAAGGGCCGGAGGAGACACACGGCAGAGCCAGGATCTTGACCATGCTGGATAGGAAACTTAGCAGCGGTTTTATTTCGTTCATTTTCCTTTCAGTGCTCCAAAAGCTGTGATGGTGGCAGCCAGAGAAGAAGGGCGATTTGCGTCAACACCCGCAATGATGTACTGGACGATCGCAAATGCGCACATCAAGAGAAAGTCACCATTCAGAGATGCAATGAGTTCTCTTGTCCACAGTGGAAGTCAGCAGACTGGTCAGAGGTAAGATAAGAGGACTCTTATTTCCTCAGGTCATCTGTGGTACTTTGAGTCTCTGCGGCTCAGTGCAACCTAAACCTGCTGCACCTTTCTGCCCCCTACCCCGGAGGAAGCAACTGTGGTTCCCCATCTGCCCCATGGCTGCCGTACAGGATGTGACTGGTCCACTGGTGACCTCAGAGGCATGGTGGGTTTGGCCGGATCACCCACTGTGATAGCTTCTGTTGGTGATTTTGAAGTTCCTGCGTCTTACCTTTCCTCCTCTTTGAGCCCCTGCTAAATCATTGCAAAAGAAAACAAGGGCTTTGTTAATCCGAAATCTGTGCTGGCTTAGAACTGAAGTTAAAAAGAAAAAGAAACAAAAGAGGTTTTCTACGTTCTCGTCTGTGAAATAAGATCATTCGACCCCAGTAAGTAACCTATTGGACTCACCCATCCAGTTGCTAGTGGAACACTTAGAAAAGAAAGGACTAGTTGAGGGTTCCAGACTTTTGCCTGTCTCATCCCTTACCTGATGAAGCAAAAGGCAAAGCCTCATTGCTGACCACAGATGGCCCCAGGACAGCAAGAGAAAGAAGGAAGAGCCTTTTTCTTGCTTTTATGGTGCGGTATTAACACTCACTATTAACCCAGACCAGTGAGAGTCTCACCAAGCAGGTGACTGCCTCCGTCTTCCTTTATGGGAGCAAGGGGAGAGGAGAGCACAAGTTCCCTTACTTGGGGGCCAAGTCAGGAATGTGGGGAAAGAGGTTTCCCTGAACAACTTCTGTGCCCATTTCCTTATCTCAACCATGTAAGCACGGTATTAACTGCTTCCTTTCAACAGCAAATAAAATACGAATCTTAAAAGGATATTATAGATGCCCCTGAAGTGGCTGAGCGTGAACGCATAGGATTACCAGTGTCTGATTCCTGCACAAGTTAACAACAAACCCACTGTTTTTGTTCTGTTAACAAGCTGCCTTAGCTTAAACTCCAGTGTTTGGTTTTAAAAAGATGAAAGAAGGTAGTGGGTTAAAGTTTTACTTAGATAGCTAATGATAGCTAAAGGACCACTTCAAATCGAGTAACCAACCTTTGCAAGAATACTTGGTAAAATGGAGGTGGGGGGATGCTAACTATATATTCAGTATGATGCAACATTCCTTAGCTTAAAAAACTGGGAAGAAAACAGCAAAATGTTAATAATGATTATCCCTGGGGAGGGAGATTTTTTTTTTAATCATAGTTTTCTCTCTTCTGTATTTTTCAAATGTTCTACAATGAGCATTTGATAAGGATGATATTTAACATTTATTAAATGAACATATGGTAAGCACTTTATTTGGATTTTTTCGGTTAGTTTTCACAATTCTTTGCATTGGACACTACTGTTATCCCCATTGTGCAAATGAGAAAACTGAGGTACGGAGACATCACTTGCATTGGTACCTATAGCTGTTTGTGTTGGAATTAAAACCCAGGCTGAGCCCCACACCTAACTCCTGTGCTAGGAAACCATGAATGTTGTTTTTCAGTACAGATGGTCCCCGACTTACGATGGTTCAACTTCGCAATTTTTTTTTTTTTGACTTTACAATGGTGTGAAAGCAATACACATTTCGTCAAAATTGTTCTTTGAATTTTGAATGTGGATCTCTCCCCGGGCTGGCTGTCTGTGGTCCATACTCTCTGGTGAAACTGGGCAGCCGTGCAATCAAAACCATATGAGGGTCAACAGTGGATATATCCACAAGCATCCTGTCCCCACACAACAGCTTTATTTTTCACTTTCAGGACAGTGTTCAGCAAATTACATGAGATAGCCAACACGTTATTATAAAAGAGGCTTTGTGTTAGACGATTTTGCGGAACCGTAGGCTCATGTAAGTGTTCTGGGTACGTTTAAGGCAGGCTGGGCTACGCTACGATGTTCCGTAGGTTGGGTGTATTAAGTGCATTTTCAACTTAGGATATTTTCAACTTATGATGGGTTTACCTGGATGTAAGCCCATCGTAGGTTGGGGAAGTTCTATATCTCGTGGCGTAGTGCTGTGCCGAGTTTATTCTGTGCTTGATACCGTCCAGAGCCTTTATCAATACAGAAGGAGTGAATGAATGAGTGAATGAGTGAACGCATGAACGAGAGAAAAACGAGCCGTGCCGTATTTACAAATTGCTGTGGGAGAGAGCGCATCTGTTCCTCCTGATTACCCGTGAATAATCCCTGGGAACCACAACACATTGTTCAGAAACACCCCCGATTGTCTGTCCTTTTTCTTACAGTGCCTGGTCACCTGCGGAAAAGGACATAAGCACCGCCAGGTCTGGTGTCAGTTTGGGGAAGATCGATTAAACGATAGAAGCTGTGACCCTGAGACCAAGCCAGCCTCCATACTGACTTGTCAGCAGCCCGAATGTGCGTCCTGGCAGGCGGGTCCCTGGGGACAGGTATTTTGAACGATAAAAGTTCTTAACTACATTCTTTCCTTCTTATCTGGAGAGGGCTTGCAGAGGGGCATTCCGGTGGTGGGGATTTAACTGCTGGGTCTCATGACTTGCCCTGGACCTCCATGGCGCCAGATCGAGTGCAAGACGCACTGCAGCCATTCTGCCCCAGGTCTGGGGATTGCTGCTTTCCCCGCTGGAGCTGGTTATTGCCTTTGTAGATACGCGTGCAAGTCTTCGTGCACAGATTCCCACCAGATCTCCTGTCTGGCTGATGTTAATCTTTTTTTTTTTTTTTAATGTTTATTTATTTACTTTTGAGAGAGAGAGAGCACGTGTTGGCAGCGTAGGGGCAGAGAGAGAGAGAGAGGGAAAGAGAGAACCTCAAGCAGGCTCCGTGCGGTCGGCACGGAGCCCGATGCGGGGCTGGAACCCACGAACTGCGAGGTCATGACCTGAGCTGAAACCAAGAGCTGGGTGGGTGACTGAGCCACCCAGGTGCCCCCTGATGCTACTGTCCGGAATGCGACTGTGGGTTGCTACGGAATGGGGTCCAGTGCCTTTGGCAGGGGGTTCTGGACCGGGATTTGGAAGGGATGTTTTGGCTACCATGTCACGGTTCCAAAGCTCACCTCTCATAAACCAGTCAGACACTTCATACAGAATGAGCGTGATCAAAAGTTGCAGAATCATCTCGCTGTGGAAGAATCTTTCCCGTCCCCTAGTGTGTCGGTTCCACAGTCTGAACCTGAGCTATTCTTAAAGGAGAGAGTGGAAGTCTCCCTTGGGCTCACATCTGAGAAGCCACTGCTCTTGAAATGAAGTCCTTCCCAATATAGAAGCAAAAGCATTCTGGGTACTATTTAAGTAGCACTCCAAGTTCCCCTGAGAAGCGAAACAGCTGTCTGCTGTCACTTATGCAATCTCTTGAAGAATAACTCTCCCTCCCCGCCCCCCTGCCCAGCAGCAACCAGTCTTCTCGTTTATGTCTTCATTTCCAAGATGCATGCAATAAATGAGAGCAGCTTTATTACTACCCCCTTACGATTTTTATGAACCTGATGTTCTTCTGAACCCTCCTGTGGTACAGCATCGCTAGTCAGAATGGCTGATCATATCTGATTACACTAACAAGGAGAGTCTCTTACACTCCTAAATCCAGCCTCCTTTTTGTCAACATCTGCGTGGCTCTTAGGGAACGGGAGAAAGAGAGAGAGAGGGAGAAAGAGAAGCCAGCTCAGAGTCACTGAGAAGATTTGAGTATAACATCTTTTACAACTGATGGGCGTCTTTTTTATCCATGTCTACACCAAACCATCAGCACACCAAGCCACGTTTCTGTGCTTCTTTCCTTTCTGTGGCTACTTAATTTTCCTTTATGCAGATGTACCGTATTTGTGTATCCATTCATACCAAGCTGGACATTTGGGTTGTTTGTACCTTTTGGCTATTATGAATAGTGCTGAGATGAATATTCACGTACGAGTATTTGTTTTAGTACCTGATTTCGGTTCTTTTGGGTGTATCCCAGGAGTGGTATTGCTGGATCGTATGGGAAGCCTGTTTTGCTCTCTTTAACTGCCAGTTTTGCACAAAACCCCTACCATATTACATTCCTACCAATAATACACAAGGGTTCCATTTTCTGCACTCCATCCCTTTTTAATTATGCTTATTATATTCCCCCTTTTACATTATGGCTCTTGGTGGGAGTAAAGTAGCATCTCATTATAATTTTGATTTGGCATTTCCCTGATAACAAATGATAATGAGAGTCTTTTCGTGTGCTTTTTGGACATTTGTGTATCTTCTTTGGAGAAATGTCTATTCACGTCCTTTGCCCATTTTTTTAAAAGTTTGTAATTATGGTTAAAAAAAACCACATAACATGGGTGCCTGGGTGCCTCAGTCAGTTAAGCGTCCGACTTTGGCTCAGGTCACGATCTCGCGGTCCGTGAGTTCAAGCCCCGCGTCGGGCTCTGTGCTGACTGCTCAGAGCCTGGAGCTTGTTTCAGATTCTGTGTCTCCCTCTCTCTCTGACCCTCCCCTGTTCATGCTCTGTCTCTCTCTGTCTCAAAAATAAATAAATGTTAAAAAAAAAAATTAAAAAAAACCCCACATAACATCAAATTTACCATCTTAACCATTTTTAAATGTACAGTTTAATCGTTCTTCTTTTCCCATTTTTTAATGAGGTTGGCTTTTTGTTGTTGAATTGTAGTTGCTCCTTATAGTGTGGATTTTAACCCTTCATCAGACATATGATTTACAAATAATTTCCCCAATCCCATGGTGGTTGTCTTTCCACTCCACTAGTGGTGCCCAGTGGTACAGAAATTTTTAACTGTGACAAAATACAACTTGTCTTGTTTTTTCTTTTGTTCCCTGTGCTTGTGGTAGAATATCCAAGAAATCATTATCCAAGAAAGTTCCATGTCGTGGAGCTTTTCTATTACCTTTTCTTCTAAGAGTTTTATAGTTTTACCTCTTATGTTTAGGTCTTTGATCTATTTAGGGTTGATTTTTATAAATAGCATGAGGTAGGAGTCCAGCTTTATGCTTTTTCATATAGACAGCCAGTTGCCCCCCAGGTATTTGTTAAAGAGACTATTCTTTCCCCCTACTGAAGGGTCTTGGCATCTTGGTTAGAAATCACTTGGCCATAGATGTCCAGGTTTATCTCTGGACTCAATTCTATTCCAAGAGTGTATATAACTATCCTTATGTTAGTACCACACTGTTTCGGTCACTGTAGCTTTGTAGTGAGTGTTGAAATAGGGGTATATTGAGTCACAGGCAAGGGGTTGAACCCCTACACATAGAATTTCAATGGGAGATGGAAATAATTCCAACCATCAAAGTGATAATCGTTGAATATAATTTGTGCAGAGCAGGAGTGCCCACGTTAACCTAGGTTCTTTGGGTGCTAGCCTTCTGCTCCACTATGATGGAACTACTTTTTTTCTTATAGGACGTTATGAGGAAAGTTAGGGAAAGAGAAAATTTGCTAACGTGTGCATCCCTTTTGTTGTATTTCTTTCCCTCAGTGCAGTGTCACTTGTGGACAAGGATACCAGCTGAGGGCAGTGAAGTGCATCATTGGGACTTACATGTCAGTGGTCGATGACAATGACTGCAATGCAGCCACTAGACCAACTGATACCCAGGTGAGTCTCCTTTGTCCAGCCCAGTGATTGACTTTGGGCAGTAGGATGCCAGAATTTCCCAGTGGTTCAGTGAGAATGGAAGTGCTCTAATGGGTAAGTGTGTAGGTAGAGTAACCAGATGATTAAGTAAATGGTCCAGATTTACCTGTTGGCTACAGTTTGAATCTAATATTTGGACATACAAGTTTCATTCTTCTCTGGTTATTTGAAGTGTAGGTGGGTCTGATTCTGATTTTTCATTGGCTAGCAAATGTTGATTGTTTGGTCTTGTTTTCTTGAGCTCAGAGGGTTTTTTGTTTGTTTGTTTGTTTGTTTGTTTTTGTTTTTTTAGTGATTTTAACGTAGGGCTGAGCAAATAGTGTTGTATGTTCAGGCAGCAACGTGCTAGAGCTGGCTCGTACCATCTCACAGGAGTGGATTGGTGAATGTTCAGGAATGTTGCGGGCTAGTTGCTAAATGTAGACACTAGTAAAAATTGGAAATATAAGCCTATAATTAAGTAGATGATATTTCAACGAAGCAGATAAATACTCAAAACCCACATTTTTCCATTGCTTGACTACATTTTACTATTATCTGTGCCCTTGAGGTTATTTACATTTACAGGTGTGTCCATGTGGTGGGAATATTACATAATGGTAAGCTATTGCACATCTCTTCCCAAGTCTGTGTTCATCGACATCAAGCTGGTAGTTTGAAATTGGCTGTGGTGAGAGTATTTACACCACAGGAATCAGCAAATGCTATAATTGAGGGTTAATTGATTGTTTTTAGACTTAAGAAAGTGATGGAGAAAATGATACTCATATGCAATCTACATTATGTTTAAAAGCGTCTTCTGTCTTTAGCTGTTACATTGGAAATAACACATACAAATTTCAAGGAAATACTCTTCCGGTATTTGGACATTATTGTCTGATTCGGCGTAGAAGTCATTCACGTCGTTGGTAGATGAAGTTCTGACATAGGTCTTGTTTGTTCCACTTTCTCCTTACTCTTCAACATAAACAAAATAGCAGCTCTCATTCATGTCTGAAGTGCACTCATTCAGCAGTTACAACCATATTTTGGCAACAGATTCAAGAATTCAACAAAAATCAGCGACAGGATTCTGTGAGACTCAACTGGCTACGTGGAATTTAAAAGAAAGCATTGTATATTTTATTACTATCTGTAAATTGTGTACCATACAGCCTTTGTATCAGTAAACTTTGTGATAACCAAACAAACATATGTATACATATATAGGTGTATATGGGCATGTAATATGTGTGTGTATACATGTAAATGCATTTCTACAAACATACACACGCACTCCTTTTTTCTCACGAGAGCTAGCTGACCATTACTGCCACTACTTCCTCTTTATGGGCCATGATTTTAGCATCGTTTATGGGAAGAGACTATGTAAAGAGAAGACTTGGGTTTCTATATCAGTTTTGCCAATTGCCGAAGACAGGATTTGAACCCTGACCGTGCCCAGAGCTCACGCTCTAAGGCCCCCTTTGGCCAATGCGCTGATTCCATTCTGAGGGCCCTCATTCTGTCTGAGTCAAAAAATACAGGAATATGGCAGTGTTGTTCATGTTGTCACTGATCGATGATAAAATACCACTTGTGACTTGTGTCCCCTTTATTATTATTATTTTTTTTTTTTTTTTTACTTTATTGAAATGCTCTAAACCACCATAGGCTAAATGCCTGCGAAATGTTAGCTATTCCATCTGAATAGGCATGAACTGAGGATTTAGCAACTCCCTGAGAGATTCACAATACTTGTTTCTCTCTACATTATTTTGTAATATTCAGTGGAGTACAGGGCGGCTCCCACAGTTGAAGCATATGGACCATTTCTTCACTGTGGGAAAAGTTTCCTGTGGTTTTCTTTGGACCACCGGCAGAAGAATAGGCAGGGTCTGGAGCCAAGTAGCAGAATTTCCCCATTCGGTTTGTAAGCTCCCTAATGTCAGGCTCGGTCCCGAGCTCACCACACTTTGCACCATGCCTGGCACATTCAGTAATTTAATGGGTATGTATTTAATCAAAGAGTATTTGCTAAATTGTGAGCAAGTACGTACTTCTGTTTTCCCATCTGTATACCTGAAAGTATTATCTACACACAAATAACCTCAATTCATTATAGGGATTTCCTCTGAGTGACTGAAGAGTGTTCTTTATGTACATTCCAGGCATTGGCATATTGAATAGACCTCTTATCTAGATTTGACCATCAGAACCTCGGGAGTTCTCTTTGGGTAAACCTAGAAAGCCAGTTCATGATTTGCAAATTCTGATTAGGAAATTAATTGAAATGTGAAAACAGAATTTTGTCTTTGGAATTTTTAAAAATTAACAACTGATATATATTTTTTATCTTGAGAGAGAGAGACAGAGAGAGAGCAAGTCGGGGAGAGGGGCAGAGGGAGAGAGAAAAAGAATTTAAGCAGGCCCCATGCTCAGTGAGGAGCCCAATGTGGGGTTCGATCCCATGACCCTGGGATCTGACCTGAACCAAAATCAAGAGTTGGACGCTCAACAGACTGAGCCACCCAGGCACCCCAACAATTGACAATTTTGAAAGGATATCCTTTTCTTTCTTAACTTACCTGCCGTTTTGCAATCGCTTTTTTTCTTTCCACATGAACAGGCAAATAAATATGATATTAACAATCACCAAGTAAATCCCTGCCCTGTATCAGTGCATTCATGAGGTGACTCAGATTATACCCCATTTTACACTTGAAAAAAACTGGGGCCGAGAGATGCCATGTGATTTTCCCAGAATTCTGAGGTCTTAGAATTCTTCATTCTTATATTTTTATTCACCTGGACCCTTAAAGTGTGCATTGACTTCAAGGTAACTTTGACTTTCTTCCCCCTCTCCCATCTAGGACTGTGAATTACCATCTTGTCACCCTCCCCCAGCTGCCCCGGAAGGAAGAAGAAGCACACAGAGTGCACCAAGAACCCAGTGGCGATTTGGGTCTTGGACACCAGTAAGAAATAGATGGCAGACATAGAGAGGGTGGAAGGGGAGGAAGAGGTTCCCTGACTTGACTGTAGGAAGTGGGTTGCTGTCCAATGAACCATCGTGTCCAATAACATCCCTGCATTATCTTACTTCAACACCCAGTGCTCAGCCACTTGTGGAAAAGGTACTCGGATGAGATATGTCAGCTGTCGGGACGAAGACGGCTCTGTGGCTGACGAGAGCGCCTGTGTGACTCTGCCTAGACCAGTGGCAAAGGAAGAATGTTCTGTGACTCCCTGTGGGCAGTGGAAAGCTTTGGACTGGAGCCCTGTAAGCGAGTGGATTCTTGGGAATTGGGAAATGACTGGGGGAACCATAGAGGATGACTAACGACAGGTCACAAATGTCAATGGGTACTGTTTTATAATTGGACTTAGTTTATGATTTAAATTATTTTGCCTCATATGTGTGCGGCTGGTATGAATCTTGGCCGGATGTGCAAGAAATGGATGTTGTTAAAATGTGTAAGTCAACGTGCAGTTGACTGATGCCCCATCCTGTTGGGTTGACTGGAAAACCCGGTGTTGATTGGGTCACATCGGAATGTAATAGGCTTGTGGAGCACCACAAGTGCCAGGGAGAAGAGGGGGAGTCAGGAAAGAGCCTCTTACCTTGAGTCTGGGTGCCTCCTAGAACCCAGACTCTTGAAGTTCAGAGGTTCTTGGCTTCTCTGTCAAGAGTGGGAAGTGGGAATCCTCATCCAATGCTATGGGCTCGGCCTCCTGTGCACACCAGGCACCATCTATGGGCTTGTGTAAAAGTAGAAAAACCTTCATTTTCAGGTGGCACCTGCCTTCTGCCTTGCAAAACTCCCAGCAATAGGGAAATATAAAGCTTAGGATAGGTGAGGAGAGGCCATCAGGAAAATAGAGAAGTAATATCTCCATAAGTATCATAACATAAGTATGAAATTTGAGCAATAGATTCAAAGAGAGCCGTGTAAAAATCCAGATCTTGACACATACTGGCTGCATAACCTTGAGCAGTCTGGTTAATTTGAACCTCAATTTCTTCTTTTTAAAAGACCCAGAAGAGTACCTATCTTACAAAGATGTTGTATTATTTGAGATTGCCTATGTTAACTGCTTAGGACAAAGTAGGTGCTCAATAAATGATAGATAATCTCACTCTGATGCCTTGAGCTTCCAGTCCATCCGTCCGTCCATCCATCCATCCATCCATCCATTAAATACACCTGTCTGTGCACCAGATATTTGTAAAAGCTTAGTGTAGAAAAAGCAATGAACAGCAAATAAGACAGTCTTAGCCTTCATGAAGATCATTCTGATGGAGGTTCCAGTCAGTCAACAAATAAAGAGAGAGATTTAGCAACAGACACTGACAAGTACTAGAAACAAGTCAAGCAGCATAATAGCATAGGGAAAAATGGAGTATGCTTTTAGACAGCGTGGTCAGAGAAGGCCCGATAGCACGCTGAGCAAGACTTGAATGAAGTGAGAGAGTGAGCCATGTGGGCATCCATGTTGTTCTGGGAAAGATAGCAGCAGTTACAAAGACCCTGAGTAGAGAGTGTTCTTGGCATGGTCAAGAAACATCCGTAAGACCAGTTTGGCTGGAGTGCAATATGTGTTAGGAGATGGGTCAAGGAGGTTGCCAGTGGCCATATCACAGAGGGCCTCCCAGGCCAAGGTACGGACTTTGGACATTTTTCAAAGTGAGTTGGGAAGTCACTGGAGGAAATGGCATGATCTTTTATTTGTAGGTGTCATAGTTGCTGATACGTGGACCACAGACTAGGGCTGCAGGGAGGGGTTCGACGTTGTAAACAGGAGCCCAGCTGAAAAGCCATTGTGGTGCTCCTGGCAGGGGAAGGTGACAGCAGAGACGGTGGGGAATGGATGGATTGGGGTATCTGTGATGACTGAGCTGACAGGGTGTCTCAGTGAGATGGCTGCAGGGTGGGAAGACAAGGGAGCAGACACGGATGATGCCAGAGTTTGGGGTCTGGGCAACCGAGCGGGCGCTGAGCCACTCACAGAAAACGCACACTGATGGGTTTGTGCCTGCCAATGACCGACCCTTTCTCTTTCTGGGTGTTCGACGTAGTGCTCCGTGACATGTGGGCAAGGCAGGGCGACCCGGGAAGTGGTGTGTGTCAACTACAGTGACCACGTGATTGATCGGAGTGAGTGCGATCCAGACTACATCCCAGAAACCGACCAGGACTGTTCCACCTCACCATGCCCTCAGCGGACCCCAGACAGCGGTCTCGCTCAGCACCCCTTCCAAAGCGAGGATTTCCGCCCCAGAAGCGCGGGCCCCAGCCGCACCCATGTGCTTGGTGGAAACCAGTGGAGGACTGGCCCCTGGGGAGCAGTGAGTATTCCCTGAAGTCCTTCTCTACTTTGCTTTCTTCTCCTTCGCCCTTGCAGCTTTGGGGGCAGACAAACTAGAAACACATCTGAAGCCCTTTTTTCTCACAAGGGCTTGGCCTTGTACATTCCCATTGGTTTTGGGTGAACCCTAACGGGTTCATCACAGTCCCTGAAAAGTTGTCCCCCGATAGTGCCTGCAGGCCACCTAGAAGCTGCCTTAACTGGGTGGAGGGGGGGGGCCATATCACAGCTGGACAACAGCATCAGGTGGCCTCCTAGGAGGTACCGTGAGGGCCAGGATGATTGATCCCGGAGGCAGAGGCGGCAGGCGGCTCTTACCTGTAAGGAAATCAAAAGGACAGAGGAAGTTTTCTGATAGGGAGCTCTTAATGGAAGTGGTTTTCCTTCTTGCTGTTTTCTAGACGAGTGCAGTCTCAAAGTGGCATGATCCATGCATAATTTGTAGTAGTAGATCATTGTCCTGGACTGAGGGGAATCACTGGTCCGGATAATTCTGTGCTTAGGGGAGCAGTACCAGAATCTAACGGCGAGCAGCACAGGCTCCGAATGAAGGTGCCTCTGTGTGAGCCAACGACCTACACTTTCACATTTTGAGATATTTAGCATGCCCCCTAGTCTCAAGGAGCCTCAGTTTCCTCCTTTGTAAAACAAAGTGAACAACAATTCCAGCTCTCCTGGGTGGTTGTAAGGAACAAATGTGACGATGGAAATAAAGTGCTTTGCACGCTGCCTGCCCCAGAGTGAGAATTTTCTCAGTATTCTTAGCATTGCCCTTCACGTGATGAAGACCTTGAAAAATATTGAATTTTAGGTTTTTCACTAAATATTTTTCGCAAAGTAATTATATTGTGCAATACTGGACATGTCTAATGGGACTGCAGGAGGGGTAAGAGAGCAGGGGACCCCGCATAGGTGTGGGAAGTCGGAAGATGTCTAGTAATCACCCCAGGGTCTTCGTTCTAATTGTTTACTCTCAGTTTCCTTCGCATACCACTAATTGTGTTTAATTATTTCTGAACTAAAACGCATTAGAAGGAAGCTGCGTGCTTCCCACTGTGGTTATGTTTCAGTAAGTGAGTTTTTCTTTTCCTGTGACTACTGATGAGCCGTCAGCCATTTCCACCCAGTACAAGTATTGGTTGTCCGCAGAACGTCTGCCGTATTGCCCAGGACCTTCGCCATCTCATTCTCCTTGCTGGCTTACCCCTTCCAGGCTTCCTGGGCCTGGGTTAGAAGAGATTTGGGTTCAGAGAAGTTAACAGGTGATCACAGGAGGTAATCACTGAGTGTCCCGCAATTTTTCGGATTGGAAGATTTCCAAACTCATGTGCGTTCTAATGATAGCACTAGAACTCTTTAAAACAAAATTTTAAAGCTATTCTTACTTACGACTACACTTGGAGATGATGCATTCTTTTAAAATTGAATGATTCTGCCCTTGGGCAGTGTTCCAAATTAGGGAGGATTAGGTAACCTTTTTGCAGCAATGGGCAATGCCATTCTTTTCCTCATCATGTTTTTGTTTGAGGACTTTTTTTCCCCCCCAAGTTAAGTGAGGCTGAAAATGGACAATGTGATTTTTTTGCAGCTCTAGCCTGACCTGCTTCCAGAAGGTGCATGTTTGCTTGGTGCAGTGCACAAACCATGGGATTCTTCCTGCTTTCCATGGCAGGAAAGGCAGCAAAGAATTTTCACCACTGGAGAATGGGAATCTAATGTTTTCAGTGGATTCTGGAGTAAATACCTCAATTTCTAGCACATTCCTGTATAAACCTGGACCCTGTGTGAGGTTTGCCCCCTGCTACCCAATTAGGGGTCTCTGGTTGTGAACAAAAGAAACTGACTCTTTCAAGTGAAAACAAGACCAACAAACAAAACTTTTCGTTTGGCCCCGGTAGAGGCAGAGACCAGAGCACCTTCAGGGATCTAGCTCAGGGGTTGGCAAATCTTTTTTGGCAAAGGACCAGATAGTAAATATCTTGTGTGAGGCGGACCATCTAGTCTTTGTCACAACTAATCAGCTCTGTCGTTGTAGCACAAAAGCAGGTGTAGACAATACATAAATGAGTGGGCATGCCTATGTTCCAATAAAACTTTATTTATAAAAGAGGGAGCAGGTCATATTTGGCCCTCATGCTGTGTCTTGCCAGCCCCTATCTAGATGGAACAGTAATTAGAGGGTAATTTTTGTAGGGAGTTTCTGTCTTAATAGATCCCTCTGAACGCTCATCTACCCTGCTTAGGATCTAAATTCTCAGGCAAGTCTCACTGGCCCTGCTTGTTCCACTTGCCCACTCAATGAGAGGCAGAGTATCTTAATACATATTCTCCCCCAAGATGACATCCCTTGGGGGAAGAAAGGTTCCTTAAAGGAGAATTGGGCTGCCAGATATAAGGGGAAGTGTGCTAGGCAAGTAAGAACGACAGATGACCACCACCTCCTGCCCCTGCAGAGACCACTCCTTCTCATTTTGGCCAGTGTGGATGATAGGTACAGGGTTTTTTCAAAGAAATGTTTACCTAAGAAAATATGTCATCTTAAAAGGACAGGAAGATTGTTACCAAAAGAAGTCCAGAGTGAAATGCTGCAACACGGAAGAGAACTAAGAATCCCTGTTAATAAAAATAAACATTTTTTAAATGGCCATATTGAACCTGGAGAAAAATTATGTAGAGCCCTTTACTTGTCTATGGGATTATAAAGCCCCAGACAGGCCCTGGGTTCAGATGGTTCAAGACTGTGCTATGTAGTTCCTTGGCCCCAGCTGAGCACTGTCTCCATGTCTTTGGTCAGATTTTCAGTAGGAAACATCCTGTTGGTCACTGGACAGCCACTGGGGTGGTTGGCCATAAGTCAGGTGACCAGCCTTGCTCCATTCAAGCATATTGGAGGCAGGGTAGCATGTGGTTTATAGAGCTGTTGTTTCCAGTAACTTTAATTGAACCAGGCTGGATATCCTGTGACTGGTGCTATGTGAGCTAACAGGGACACAAGTTATGGCACTGAACCCTCTCAAGGAGCTTACCACACTTCATTGAGGCAGTAATGTCCACAGGTGACAAAAGAATGAGACAAGATTGTATTTTCAAGGGAAGAACTCAGGGGCCAAAATATATATTACAAATGCACTTACAATATGGAAGTTCCTTCCTCACGTTATATATTTTGGTTCCCAAACAAAGCGAATTAAAATAATGATTTTGTGTTTCCTGTTACGTCCTAAGCTGTTTAAAAATAGAAAACAGGAGGGGCGCCTGGGTGGCGCAGTCGGTTAAGCGTCCGACTTCAGCCAGGTCACGATCTCGCGGTCTGCGAGTTCGAGCCCCGCGTCAGGCTCTGGGCTGATGGCTCAGAGCCTGGAGCCTGTTTCCGATTCTGTGTCTCCCTCTCTCTCTGCCCCTCCCCCATTCATGCTCTGTCTCTCTCTGTCGCAAAAATAAATAAACGTTGAAAAAAAAAATTAAAAAAAAAAATAGAAAACAGGGGTGGCTAGGTGGCTGAGTCAGCTGAGTGTCCAACTCTTGATTTAGGCTTAGGTCATGATCTCACAGTTTCATGAGTTTGAGCCCCACGTTAGGCTCTGTGCTGACAGGATAGAGCCTGCTTGGGATTCTTCCTCTCTCTCTGCCCTTCCTCTGCTTGCTTGCTCTCTCTCACAATAAATAAAAGAAACATTAAAAACATTAGAAATAGAAAACAAGTATTTTCAAGTTTAGAGTCATTATACCAGAATCCTCCGAGAATAGAAATGGCATTTTTATAAATCAAAAATTGCCTAAATTTTTTTTTAACGTTTATTTATTTTTGAGACAGAGACAGACAGAGCATGAACGGGGTGGTGTCAGAGAGAGAGGGAGACACAGAATCCGAAGCAGGCCCCAGGCTCTGAGCTGTCAGCACAGAGCCCGACGCCGGGCTTGAACTCACGAACTTGTGAGATCATGACCTGAGCCGAAGTTGGAGGCTCAACCGACTGAGCCACCCAGGCACCCCAAAAATTGCCTAATTTTTTTCTCAGGCAGAAGTCATAAATCTGTTTTCCTGCTCCACATCTTAAAATTATACCCGATGTATTTTAAAGTCACCCGTAATTTGTCTGAGATGGGCAGAGAAATTGAAATTCGGTCCAACCATAAGCCAAAAAATATATTCAGAGCTTTATTTGGAACAAGCTGACCAGCAAGATGCATTGTTTGCAAGTATTTTGAAATAACCCTGGTTTGAGCTAGGATTCGACAGAAAACACAGATCAGCCATCAGAACCCAGAACAAATGGGGCACTGGGATAGCTCAGTTGGTGAAGCATCTGACTTCAGCTCAGACCAGGATCTCACCATTTGTGAGTCCAAGCCTCTCTTTGCCTCCAGCTCGGAGCCTAGAACCTGCTTTGGATTCTGTGTTTCTGTCTCTCTCTGCCCTTACCCTGCTCACTCTCTCTCTCTCTCAAAAATAAATAAAAATTAAAAAAAATTTTTTAAAAGAACCCAGCACTAACAAAAAAAAATTGTCCAGTGCAGTTGGAAGCTTAATAATTCATGGGAATTGCATTGCTTTGAGGACAAGTTGTTATTTTATAGGCAAACTGATTTTACAACTTAGGGGTCACAGTGAAGGATACTAGCAAACACATCGGTTTTCAAAAGATAAGGACATTATGGAAAGAACAAAACCACTCAAGATGTAGATAAATAAGAGAACTCTGAGAAGCTTGTGTGGGAAATTAGCTGAACTGCAAACATAATTCTGTGACAACCAAGAGAGGGAGCGTTAGAAAGTGCCCCTGAAGAGAGGCTTGTCAATGTGGAATCCAATTAAGGTCCTTGGGGAAGTAAAAAATAAATTAAAAAGCGAATCTTGCTGCTATCAGCCACTAAAGTCAAGGCTATTCTGAAGAGAGAGACGGGAACATTCCCTGCAAGGAAATGATGTCTCAGTGACGTTCCGCTACGCTTTGGGTAACCGAATGAATTAATACGGAAGTTCACTTTCAACAGTGGTGTCTCGTTAAGCATGTACTTTGACCTCTGTGTTGAAGTCAAATGTTGGTTCTAAACGAGCATTTGGATTTTGAAAAGAAAAGAGTTTCTCAATAGGCTATGGTATCTGTTAACACCTCTGTGCTTCTCAGAGCTGCAGAGAGGTTAAAAGAAGACAGTAAATGGAATTGCTTTGGAAGACATTATCACACATGGGGCATCTTTTGAACACTTCGTGAGTGCCGAAAGTGTGCAAGGGAGAGGCCCTTTTTCTCCCCTCCAGGTTTTTATAAGGCATGCCCATTAAACAACCCCACAGAGTGGAAGTTCTCATAACGGCTTTTTGACCACGGTGGGAAACTTGAGAACGGATTCTGTCACATTTGTCTCTGACTTTCCAACCAGCTGCTTTTTGGGTCACTGAGATGTCGATCGAGGTAGGGATTAACCTGTTGACTGATGTCTGATGTGTTCAGTGTTCCAGTACCTGTGCTGGTGGGTCCCAGCGACGTGTTGTGGTATGTCAGGACGAAAATGGATACACTGCAAATGACTGCGTGGAGAGGATAAAACCCGATGAGCAAAGAGCCTGTGAATCTGGCCCTTGTCCTCAATGGGCTTATGGCAACTGGGGAGAGGTGAGAGTGAGCCATCCTTTTGTACCTCCTTTGGAAAGAACACAGAGTAATTTTGCTGACCAAACTGTGCCGTTGTTCGTGATCTATTTTAAGGGAGAAGAATGAATTCTGGTGAGAGCTTCTTGATTTGGGATTAACCACGAGACCTGTCTTAATTCCAGACCATCTTAAAAGTACAGTCATTACCAGTGAGAAACAGCTTAAACACATAGGAGAGGAAAATTAGGACAGAATACAGATAAATGCTAGGCTAGATTGTTTGTTAACCTCTGCTGATTAAAAATGGGACACTTTTAAGGTAATTGGACATATGTGTTAAATTGGTCCATGAAAACGTTACCATCCTTTTCATAGTTTGGGGCTGTTTATAATTTACGCTTGTTCCCATGGCATAATCATTCTGGTGTTCCAAATCCTTGATGAAACCAGAATGAATAGGTGCTGTTATTCCTACCGGAGCTGAGGCGTTCTAATGGTGGACGGGAATAATTAGCTCTATAATCTCAAGTAATAAAATTCTTCAGCTGTTACCTTTTAAGAGTAATGGCCAATGAGGGGCAATAGACTATTTGCACCACACAAAACTGGATTCCATTCCCGGTGCTGACCCTTCCAAGCTTTGTCGCCTGGGAAAATTATATAACTTTACCAAACGTCTGTAGCCTTGCCTATAAGTGGGAATAATCATGGCACCAACTCATGACCTATTGCATGAGATAGTGCACGACCAATACCTAGCATATATAGTCTCCAAAGTTCGCTGCTATTACAATCATCATCATTATCGTCACTACGACTACCCTTTATCATTAGGATGACTACTAGTATCAAATAGGGTTTTGAGCCACTCTTTTGTGGAGGGCTTACATGCTTATTGTTTTGTGTTTGATTGACCAAGAATGCATCCCTCTACTCTTGAATCCTCAGAGATAGCGCATACTTAAAGCTTGTGGAATTGCTCTGTCTTGACTGTCAGCTTTATAAAATAAAACGTGAAGGTTAACGTCTTGCAGACCCCAGTGCCAAGAGGGGGAGAAAGACAAGTGAGAGGGAGGGGCGTGTTAGCCCACGCTCCTGGCGAACCCAAATCACGCGTCCCCAGTTTCACATAACCCAGTAGTAATAGGCAGTCATAGTGGAGCGTTCTGTTAACTTTCGTTGACGGTGCGCCGTTCTGGAGGGCTTTGCCGAAAGGCGGGAAGGGGGAGTCAGGCTTTGAGACTCATGCGTTGTGGGTTTCCCAAAACTCCTCACAGAGTCCTGTCCTGTGGGGCTTGTGATTAAGCTTCTGTAATTGGACCAAAGCCAGGAGAGTACACGCATTCACTGGGATGCTTGCTGTCAGCACAGACCAGGTCATTCCAAATTCTGTGGGAGATCTGGCCTCGACACAGCAGGAAAGCCAGATGTCAGTGTTCCTGGATGTGAGCACAGCAGTGCCGTCCAAGAAGCACGGCTCGTTCCTGCCTCAGAAGTTCGGGTCTCCCCCACCACATTGTTTATTCATCCTGGGGAAAGTCATCATTATCCTGAGATGCGGAGATAGCGTAAAATATCTTAACGTCATAAAGGTCTGGGGAGGTTGGAGTCACATAATAGCCACAAGTTGGTAACAGCTTCTTACAAGCTGCCAGAAAATAAAACTGGCTCAGTCATTATTTCCTTTATTTGGTAGTGGGTGGTTTCGGGATTTTTATTGGTTTGATTTTGGCCTCTGTATACCTCCAAGAAAAGGCTGTAATCTTATCCTAGTCACTTACTGTCGAATTGGCTATGATCAAGTTAATTAACCTCTTTTAAGCTCCGTTGTCCCATTTGTAAAATGGGGCAAATAATTATAGTCTCCTCCTGATGAGACAATGCCCACACCAGCGCGTAGTACAGGGGAAGGGAAGCACTCAAGAGATGATGCCTACCATTAAGTCAGGGAACTCCAGTCTATCGTATATAATAATTTTGGTAACTCAGCTTGGTCCTGCCTAGAGACCAGTGCCGTGATAGAATTTGGTTAAGAAATTGTTCTTAAGGGAAAGAAAGGAAAATTTGTCGCTGGCTGTTCAGACCGAGTGACCACAGCATCATTTTCCCCTCTTGCAGTGCACGAAGCTATGCGGTGGGGGCTTGCGCACAAGACTGGTGGTCTGCCAGCGGCCCAGCGGTGAGCGGTTTCCAGATCTGAGCTGTGAAATCCTTGATAAGCCTCCAGATCGTGAGCAGTGTAACACACACGCTTGTCCGCAAGACGCTGCCTGGAATCACGGCCCTTGGAGTTCGGTACGGCCCTAACTCTTAATGTTCGTTAACCAAACTATTTGACTAACATGCCTGATTCCAAGGTGTTCTGGGTCGCACTCCTCTGCGACAGCCAATGGTCTTGCTCCCAAGGGCATCCCCGGGACTGTGCTATGGTCTGTGATTGTCCTCATACTGACAAACAGGAGAATTAATTTTTTTGTGGTATTGCCGAAGTGACTTTACAGAATACATGTACCTCATATTGGCCTGGGGCCAATGTCAAGAAGTAGCTTCCTTTTTGAGAAAAGCAAGACTGGATAGATAGATAGATAGATAGATAGATAGATAGATAGATTTTTTTTTTTTAAGAAATGAAATACGTTCATGTAGTTATTAAGCTCCAAAGTGATTTAAACAGACAACTCAATAGCAGACATTCTTTCCTTTCCTAAGCTACGAGAGTTTTGACTTTGTGGGGAAGATACCTGCGTATTGAGGCCAAACCAATTTTTTTTTTTTCTTCAATGACTGTAATTTGCCTCTGTATGACTCGGGTACGACTCTCGACGCAATCACCGTAAAGCCTGTGCCCACAAAAAAAGACTGAAATCATTCTGACAACGCAAAAGACCAGCGACAGTGGACTCCATGACTTGTTGCCTTTCAAGGCATCTGAAATGTTCCCTCCCTCTCCCCAAGACACAAAGCCCGTTTGAGGCGCTTTTTTGCATCAGTCTGAGGCTTCCCTTGCTATGGGCTCGCTGACATTGTGAGACAGGTTTTCCACTGTAAAAACTATGCAAACTTCTGGGGCGGCTCTTGGCAAACAGAAGGTCGGCTGGCTACATCAAAACAATTCTTTGGCTGAGTTGTGTCATAATCTTTGGAGCCGTTAGGGCTGTTTCATGTAAATAGAGTAAACGTTTCTGTAAATACATTGATTGCACTGAATCGGAATTTAGTATTATATGAAGTCATATCCAGAAGCCTTTTTGGCTGCATAGGGTTCTGAGGGAAAGTCTTAACCATTCCTGAAACCAGATGAAGAACAGATTAACAGAAGTGAAATGTCTAATACCTGTCGATGCCTCTTAGAATCAGGGTTTTCAGGGTCTGAGATCATGTCTGCAGGTAGAACCTAGCTACATAAGCACTGTACTTAGTATGAAGTAGAAAGCCAGAAAACTTTAGAGTATCATCTCTACTGGAACTATTTAGCTGGGCTGCAAGGCTTTCCTTCAAGAGCTTAAGAAATGCCACTCTGAGTCAGATGTATCTTCACCCGAAGCATTTTGTCTGCAATACTGGCACCCTCCCAAAATGAACATTTTGAAAAAGATCAGAAATGGCTATAGAATGTCAGGAACATCCTCTGGCACTCCCAACTTCCCTAACTCACCTTTGACGTATTATTTTTCATGAAATTTCCCCTCTGGAGCCCATTATATTTTTACCTTGTTCGCTCAGCCAACAGCAACACCACCCCAGAGTTGTGTCTCAAAACCTCTAGCCCTCCAAAAAAGTTCTTTTTCTTTAATTTCGACCAAAAAACAAAAAATCTCCTGACCTTCAGAGGTCAGGAGATATTTAATATATAATATATATAACGTATAGTAATATAATAATATATTATATACTGTATACATAGTATACGTGTATGGGTACACATTATATACAATATATAATATATGTTATATTGGTTTCCACTGCTATTCTCCTTGAATGCTTTCTAAATACACCTCAAATTTTTTTACACAAGATCGCCACCCTCCCCCACAGATATTTTAAGAGTTCAATGCTTAAATTTTAAACTATGATTTGCTACTTTAGCTGAAAATTTTAAGATTTTTATTGTAGTTACTCTTCTCAGGCCTGCACACGATTTTCTGAAACACAGAGAGAAAAAGAAAGAAGAGAGATTTCTAGTGCTGTGTCATTCACAGAAAAGAATACATGGATTTTTAAAATATTTTTGCTGCCTCTATGATTTTAGTGCTTCCTTTATAAAGTGATCGTTGTTCAAGTATATATTTAAATGCCTCTACAATCTAGGAGCTAGGCCAGTTGTGTAAGGCTTCTAGCTGTGATTTAAAAAAAAAAAAAGTGAAATCAAAAGCATTCTATTTAAATAGATACGTTTATAATATATTACTTAAATACATGTGTGTGAGGGCAGTCTTTCAGATTCTTACTGTAGGACTTTGATTTCACTTTTATGTCGATTTTCATGGATGCTTTGGTACAATTTCTAGGCAATTCTAAATTTAAGCATACCTCAGAGAATCGTGTTAACAGCCATAAAACCACTCCCATGGTGCTTCATCATTGTAACTGACAGTGAAATTAACAACAGCAAAGAGTATATTTGAGGTGCTAACATGTTGCTTTCAAGAGAAAGCACCCTCCATTTATTAGAGACCAAGAGTAGCAATTAGTCCTTCAGTAGGATTGCTTTCTCTCCCCAGATTTTCACACACTGGCGGTAGTGTCCAGAATCAGCTGCGGCTGTGTGGAGTAGGCCTTTTCCAAGGTCAAAATGGAGATAGCCTCATTCAACAGTTGTTACTAAGGAACAATATTTAGGAAAGAAAAGCCACATCATGTTAGCGTGGCCTGCCAGTGTCTCTTAAAATGAAGCTTCGGTGAACGTAGGCTTAAGTACCCGTCTTAGACCCTTAGTTCTGGCTCCTGTCATTGGAGATTCGGAATCATGATTTTGAAAAACATCCTCCAAAAGCTCAGCCTTTTCTGTCCTCTTTTAAATGTGTCCTTCCACTCTTACTTGGTAACGTTCTGATTTCTAAATCAGGTTCGCACCCGGCTAATGCCTTCCAGTCTGCTCCTGCCGCTTGTGGGAGCGGGTTGAGGGGTTGAACGCACACGTCCCATGACTAGTGGATAAATTAGAAAGAGAGCTCTATACTGTCACACCACAGCAGAAGGTAGTTTAAAACTCCGCAGCATTCTCCAGTCAGCAGATCCATGGAGAGAATTCAAGTAACAAAGGTTGCAGGTGATGTCAGCTCTCCCAGCTGGTCTTGTCACATTCCTTTCTGCGTTGCCCCGTGTATCTGCTTGCTCATCGTCTTGGACCCTGTGCTTCTCCTTAGGAGAAACTGCTTGTTTGGGTTTTTTCGTGACAAACCTAAAGGTGTTCTCTGAGCCTTGCTTTAGGTGCTCTGGAACAACGCTTGTCGACCCGAATAATGAGAATTTATGAGCTCATGAAGGAACTGTGCTTTTGTTTCTGCCTGGCCAACTTATGAATTTATGTCTACCTCATTTTCATATTAAAGTTTGCAGCTTCCTTAGGTAGGAAGAGAAAATGTCTGACATCAGTATTTTATCACCTCGCTGCATCTATCTCTAGCAAAAATAAAGACTGTAAATATCACTACCAAACTTTCTGAATACGGTTTTATGCAGCCAAGCCTAGTATTGTCTGAATATTTTGAGCAGTACAGATTTCTATGTGTTTATATAATAAAGCATATTTATTTTTTCCATGTTATTTAATTTTATATACAATGTTTAAAAATCAGTGTTTATCAGCAGATTGTAAAGGCAAATAGGCTATGTGAATTAGAAATTCATGTGTATGTTTCTTTGGGTTTTAAAAAGATACATTCTAATTTTGTAAATCCCTTCCAACGTGTCCCATCCCTCTCCCCAATCTGAGCGGCCAACTGGTAAACTCTATGTAATTGGATAGTTTAAAATGTGTATTTTAAAAGGATACTTAAAAAAGAATTCTGAATTGGAAATGATGCCTAGTGATATAAACAAAAATATATGAGGCTTAATATTTTGGGTTTTTTTTTCTTTTCTAATACTGTTGTCCTGATTCATTGAGTCTCAGCTATGAAATATGAATGTTCCATTTATTGAATTTGTAGGTAATGATAAAATATAGCCAGAAGACAAAACAAGCGATTAAAAGAAATGGTCCTGAACATGTAAAAAGAGCTAGGTACAGGAAAACACTAACCTAATGTGCATAAATTTGATCACACTTCATTCTTTGTGTTCAGATAACTATAAAAGACTTGAGCATTTGTCAATTTTGTTATTGGTTCACCTGCAATACATTTCAGAAGGAATTTCTTTCTTATTAAATAAAGAAAATATGATCAAAATAATCTTGGAAGTTTTAAGAGAGCCTGCGGTTTTCAAAAAATTATGCATCATAAAGATGATCCCTGATAACTATTGGTCTCACATCCCCTGAGTCTCCTTTTTACGTGTAATTTAGGATGGTAACTGAGAGTTAAAAGGACCAGAATCAGATGTATGTGAGTTTGGAGTTTCTATAAGGTGCCAAATAAATAAGATAACTTCTCCAAAGCAGATGATGATAGCTAACTTTTCCTGAGTATTTTCTGTGTACCAAGCCAAGTTAAGCAAATATACATCATATTTATCCCCCATGTTACCCCAGGAGGGTGGTGTTTTTATGAATGCATTTGAATACCTGATCATCTACTATAGTGTTAAGACTTCACTAGCAGTGTACTGACTGTACTAATCCTGCCTAGTCCGACAGAAATAGCCCGTATTCAGAATGAGTTTTTTAAACTCCCACTTATATTCAATAAAGGAGATGCCTAAAAGTCAGACTGCATCAACCTCCACGTTATTTAGCTAATAGCAACATCATCCATTTGACTCCAGCAACAGAATAATCCACATTTATTACGATTATTGGTAAATTCCCATAACCAGCACTTGTAAACACTTCAGCTGGTTATGTTTCAGGAATGGCAGAACATCTCTCTTTCATTTTAAAGTTATCACATCAGCCAGATTAGGAGGACAGTATAAAGATTTTAGTCATCAGGAATGTCACATTAAATGCGTATGCATTTTGTATAAAGAAAAAGATTTTTTCACTAATGAGGACACATCTTCAATACACTGCTGGTGCCTTTTAAAAAATAAATAAGAAACACATTATTTGGCTCTATCCATACGAAGTAGTGAAAAATAAGGCTTTTTTAAACAAAACATTGTAACATATGAAATTACAAAATACCCAAATT